CCTCGCCCGCTCCGTAAGCGCTCCTGCCCGATGGGAACCCGCGTCCGCACAGGACTGTGGGGCAGGCCGCGAGTGGATCTCTCTTGAAGGGGACCGTGAAAGATGCTGGGGCACCATTTATGAAAACGAGATGCCTAAAAGACTCTTCAAAACATAAAGTAATTCATTATATTGTTGATTCTCAGAAATGTTCAACTTGGGCGAAAAGAGCTTCATTTTCTAGGCGCTAGTAGCCCTGGTAAGAAGGCCTCGGCCTCGGACGGCACAGCCGTAAGGCGCCTTGAATTGGTTTCCAGGAGGCTGCTGCCCCCTTACTTCTGTCTTTATTATGAATGTTCTCTAATGTCAGGTCGTCTAATTGAATTTTTGCTGGCACAGTACGTCGCAGGGCTGGCCGCGAAGCATTGGAGCTCGGAGATGGACTACAGTACATGGGGGAATAATTGGGGTCAGCAGAATTTGTTGTAAAAAATAAAAAGTGTGTGTTCTTTTAATCCATCACACATTGAAACGTGCTTTAAGTGCCACGCGTGCTCAGGGCTTGTATAAATGAGAACAGTGCCAATTACGTTTTCTCTTGGGTTGTCTTCGGTGTCAAGTAGTTCATCAGAACAGAACATTTGACCCTGAAAAACCTTGAGGATGAATGTTAGTAAGAAATCGTGGTTTTAGTTCCTCTTTTTCCGTCAGCGGATTTTCCTTACAAACTGAGCAGAATGTGGCCGAGATTCAGTATCTTGACTTCTCTTCTCTGTTCTTTCTCCAGTGTTGTTAGTAACAGTGCTGGTGGTGGAAGGGATCGCCGTGGCCCAGAAGACCCAAGGTAAAGTGCTCGCGGTGACGGCAGGGCGGGGGCTCGTCCGGAAGGGCTCCAGTGCTGGGGGCCCGTCCTGCCATCCCCCTGGGGTGTCCCCGTGGCCTGAGGCCCTGTCGCCCTGTCAGCCTTGGCTTCACTGGGTTGAGCCGCAGTCAACCAGAGTAAACTGTCAACGTGAAGTCTTGCCCTGAGAAATTTTAAAAATAGGCGTCACTAGGAAGTCCTAGCATGCTGTGGATTTTGTCCAAACGTTAAGTGGGGGTCCTGCTCTCTGAGGAAGCAGAAATAAAAATCCATTTTTCCCACGTTAGACAAATGACGACACAGCTCCATCAGCGTGGAGCCCTGGGACCTGTGTGGGTGTCCCTGTTTATGGAAGGGCAGTGAGTGGGGTTCCTGAGCCGGATTTTCACATCAGAGTCTAGTACATTTCTTCTAGCACCTGACTTAGTTTTATTTTCATCAAAGTTACACCTGCACGTGACAGAAATCTAGGCACTCTGAAACTTCCGTGAGGAGGACTCCGAGCCCCATGCGGCCCCCCACATCCGGCTCCGGGGAGGTCCCCACTGTCTTGGCTGATCCTTTTGGTATTTCCCTGCCTTTTTCTTTCTTTGTTTTTGTTTGTGTTTTTGTTGTTGTTGTTAATCGTCACCCGAGGTATTTTTCTATTACTTTTTAGAAAGAGTGGAAGGGAGGTGGGGTGGGGGGAGAGAGAGTGAGAGAGTGAGCATGCTCCACGAGAGACACTTTGATCGGTTGCCTCCCGCACACGCCCTCGCCAGGGTCAGGGATCAAACCTGCAACCCAGGTACGTGCCCTTGATGGGAATCGAACCCGTGACCCTTCAGTCCCAAGGTCGACGCTCTAACCACTGAGCACACACCAGCGCTCCCTGCCCGTTTCTAAATAACGTGCTTGCGGCGGCTGCCTCTTAGTTACTTCGGCCTTAGGTGTCAGGCGACGATTCCCACGGGAAGGGGACAGTGCAGCTCTCCCGGCGCTTCCCGCCGCCACTCGCCCGGTACCCGCGGGGCCCTCTGCGAGCGTTTTCTGCCTGAAGACTCTGCCCTTCAGCATAGGAGACGCTCCTGCCCTTTTCCTTTCCCTGCCCCGCGCCGAGTGCTCCAGAGCGGTGCCGTCCCGCCGGTGGCAGCGGGCGTGTGGTGCTGCGTTTGGTGGGGCTGCAGGGGCGCACGTGTGCAGGGGCTGCAGGGGCACACGTGTGTAGGGGCTGCAGAGGCACACGTGTGTAGAACAGCAGGCAGTTGCTCGGGAAGTTGGGGGGGAAGGAGAATGCTGCTCTCTTGCTGTGATTCATGTTTTTGTTGTTTTAAATTTATCTTTATTGCTGAAAGTATTACAAATATCCCCCTTTCCCCCCCATTGATCCCCTCCATCCTGTACCCCTGCCCCCAAGCCTTCACCCCACTATTGTGTTTCCATGGGTTATGCACATGTGCATATAAGTTCTTTTGTTAATCTCTCCCCACCCACCCCCGCCTTCCCTCTGAGATCCCCCAGTCTGTTCCATGCTTCTGTGTGTCTGGATCTATTTTGTTCATCTGTTTATTTTGTTCATTAGATTCTACATATGAGTGACAGGCTTATTTCACTCAGCATAATACACTCCAGGACCCACTATGCTGTCTCATAGGGTAAGAGATCCTTCTTCTTTACAGCTGCATAGGATTCCATGGTGTAAATGTCCCAGAAGATGCTTGATATGATTTCAGTCTTCTTGTAGAGACCTGTTTTGGGCCCTAACCTGTGGTCCATCTTTGAGAATGTCCCATGTGCACTTGAGGAGAATGCCTATCCTGCAGTTTTAGAGGGAAATGTTCTTTCCATGTCAATTAAGTCCATCTGACCTAGTGTGTCAGTTAGAGTCACTGTTTCCATGTTGATTTTTTTGTCTGGAAGATCTATCCAGTGAAGTCAGTGGGGTGTTAAAGTCTCCTACTGTGACTGCATTGCTGTCGATCTCACCTTTAAAGTCCTCCGGAAGTTTTTTTTCCCAGCCTGTGTGAGTCTTGTTCTGAGGTGGGTCTCTTGTAGACAGCATATGTTTGGGTCTTGTTTTCTTACCCATTCAGCTACCCTATGTCCTTTGATTGGAGCATTTAACCCATCTACAGGTTATTATTGGTAGGTGCTTATCTATTGCCATTTTAATTCTTTATGCCTATGTTTCTCTTTCTCTATTTCAACTTCTTATTACAGCAGTCCCTTTAACATTTCCTGCAGTGCTGGTTTGGTGGTGATAAACTCCTTTAGCGTTTTTATTTTTTGTCTGGGAAGCTCTTTATTTCACCATCTATTTTGAATAATAGCCTTGCTGGACAGAGTAGTCTTGGTTTCAGATCCTTGCTTTTCATTACCTTGAATACTTCATGCCATTCCCTTCTGGCCTGTAGAGTTTCTGATGAGAAGTCAGCTGACAGCCTTATGGGAGCTCCTTTGTAGGTAACAGATTGCTTTTCTCTTGCTGCCTTTAAGATTCTCTCTGTCTTGAATTTTGGGCGTTTTAGTTACGATGTGTCTGGGTGTGGGCCTCTTTGGGTTCTTCTTGCTTGGGACTCTCTGTGCTCCTGAACTTGTGTGACTTTTTCCTTGTCCAGGTTAGGGAAGTTTTCTGCCATTATTTCTTCAAACAGGTTCTCTAATTCTTGCTTACTTTCTACAATTTCTGGAACTCCTATGATGCAAATATTGTTACGTTTGATGTTGTCCCACAGCTCCCTTAGACTGTCCTCCTGATTTTAATTGTTTTTTCTTTTTGGTTCTCTGAGTGATTTTTTCTACCCTGTCTTCTAATTTGCTGATCAAATCCTCAGCTTCCCGTAATCTGCTGTTTATTCCTTCCAAGGTATTTTTTTTTATTTCTGCTATGTCATTCTTAGTTTCCTTCATAGTTTCCCTATTTTTTCTCATGCTGTTGAGCATCCTTACCATCAGTATTATGAACTCTATATCTCATAGATTGCTTTTCTCCATTTCATTTAGCTCTTCTTCTAGAGACTTCTCTTGCTCTTTCATTTGGGGCTTGTTTTTTTTTTTCTCCCCATTTTGGCTGCCTGTTTGGATTTGTTTCTGTGGATTAGGTAGATCTTCCAGGACTCCCAGTCTTTTGGATGGTCTCTGGTGCAGGCCAGTGTCAGATGCTGTTTGTGACTGGCCTTGAGTACCCTGTTTGAAGCTTTCCGCACTCCACAGCTTGTGGTCCCCTCTGCTGGATCTGGGTGTGTTTGGACAGGACCGAGATGTGCACCAAGTTCTGCTTTTCTAAGCCCTGGGTCCAGAAGCAAATCCAGCCTGTAATTCATGTTTTAATCTTCTCTCTTCCCCTAAGATGGACAGAATATTGGAGTCAAGCACATGCCTGCCACCCAGTGCGGCATTTGGGTTCGAACCAGCAATGGAGGCCACTTTGCTTCACCTAATTATCCAGACTCATACCCCCCAAACAAGGAGTGTATCTACATTCTGGAAGGTCAGTGACCGATTTCTAGCTTTTATTCAATGACTTTTTTCTTCATTGCAAATCTGAATTCATTGGTAAAATGCCCCATTTAGACCAGTTTGAACAAAATTAAACATGTATTTGAATTGAACTCTAGGAATTATAAATACTTCTGAATACTAAACACATTAACAAGGTAATAGTTGAAATAATGTAGGAATTTTGAATCTCCTAAGGCATGATTCAACCAGATGCACCAGCATGGATGAGAAATTTCTCTAGTGAGAAACTTAAACTAGCTGGCATCTCTTATTAGGCTTTATGCAAATTCCCATCCATAGTTAGTTACATTAGCTGTTCATTTCTTCTGTTTTTCTCTACGTCGTGGTTCATTGTATCTTTGTGAACCAAGCATGAGCTTCTCGACTCTAATTTTAATCAATTGAATATATTTAACTAACTTCATAAATTGTGTAGGCCAAAGAGAACAATTACTACAGCTCCACAGAGTAGCATTATTATTCATGTAAAATAAACATTTATTATGAATTTTATGTGTAACGTTCTCATTTGATCCTCAACTTTGAAGTGGTAACAGCTGCTGTTGCTTTTCCCACTTGTGTGAGGACATTTGTACTTTTTCTTGAGCATGTCACCCTGATTTGCTTACTCTTATTTTCCAGCTGCTCCACGTCAAAGAATAGAGTTGACCTTTGATGAACATTTTTACATAGAACCGTCGTTTGAATGTCGGTTTGATCACCTGGAAGTTCGCGATGGGCCATTTGGCTTCTCTCCGCTCATTGATCGGTTCTGTGGCGTGAAGAGCCCTCCGTTGATCAGATCAACAGGGAGGTTCATGTGGATTAAGTTTAGTTCTGATGAAGAACTTGAAGGAATGGGATTTCGAGCAAAATACTCATTTATCCCAGGTAATGAGGGGATCTCACCAAGGATGCCTCCCTCTGCCTTTAGCATCCTAAGACTAGAAAAGAGGCCCTTTAGTTGAGTTAACAGTTGAACTGCAAAAGCACTGAAGTCCCTGGTGGAAACCAAAGAGCACACGTCACTGGTCTGTCTTCAAAGAGCCCATAGCTAAACAGGTGACAGTGACAAAGTACAACCGTTTTGCTTTTATTTAGGTTTTCATGCAAGAAATTTGTTAATTGAAAAAATTAACATACCCAAATGAAAAGAAAATATCCATAATGTTATTACCCTGTATATGAAAACCGGTGTTGACAGTTTGGCATATATCCCTTCAGATGTTTTTCTGTTTCTACTTATTTTGTTTGTCTTAAGTACATTCAGGTATGTTACCTGCTTTTTTTTCCCCCTAAACAGCATAGTTAACTTTTATTTTCCTATCACTAAACATATTATGGGAATTTTTAAGTGTTGCTCTGTTATTTAGATTCTCAGTGCCAAAAGGCTAACATTTTCAAGAATTAAAATTTATCAGACAGACTTGATCTGATAGATTTCTCCACACAAAACCCGCGTGTGGGTGTTCATAGCAGTTTTATTTGTAATTGTTAAAACTTGGAAGCAACCAAGATATCCTTCAATAGAATAGATAAACAAACTGGACCATCCAGACAATGGAATATTATTCAGAGTTAGACTTTATTTTTTTAGAACAGCTTAGATTCACAGCAAAACTGAGCAGAAAGTACAGAGTCACCATATACCTCCTCTCCCCCCCCAACACACAGCCACCTCCAAAATCAACACCCCCACCAGATGGTACATTAGCTACAGTCGATGAACCTGCATTAACGCATCATTTTCACCCAAAGTCCACGGTTTACCTTAGGGTCCACTCTTGGAGTTACATGTTCTATGGGTGTGGACACATGTACTATTTGTCCACATGACATTATCACACAGAGCATTCCCTCTGCCCTAAAAACCCTCTGTGCTCACCTGTTCATCCCTCCTGCCCTAGCCCCTGGCAGCCACTGGTGGTTTATTGTCTCCATAGTTTTGCCTTTTCCCAAATATCATGGAGTTGGAATCATGTAGTATGTAGCCTTTTCACATTGGCTTCTTTTACTTGTTAATATGCATTTATTTTTTGTGGCTTGGAACTCATTTCTTTTTAACAGTGAGCAATATTCCGTTGTCTGGATGTACCACAGTGTATTCATTCTACTAAAGGACATCTTAGCTACTTCCAAGTTTTAACAGTTATGAATAAACAGACTATAAACATCTATATTTAGATTTTTGTGTGAAGTTTTTAACATTTGGGTAAAAAACCAAGGAGCACAATTTCTGTATCATTAAAATTTTTTAAATTTTTGTGTAAATGGATAGTGATGATGGTTGTACAACATTGTCATTGTACTTAATTCCACTGAACTGTGCACTTAAAAATGGTTAAAAGGGCCCCAGCCGGCGTGGCTCAGAGGTTGAGCGTCGACCTGGGATCCAGGAGATCTCGGTTCGATTCCTGGTCAGGGCACATGCCTGGGTTGTGGGCTCCATCCCCAGTTGGGGGCGTGCAGGAGGCAGCCGATCAATGACTCTCTCAGCATTGATGTTTCTCCCTCTCCCTGTCCCTTCCTCTCTCTGAAATCAATAAATATATACACACACATATATATATATTTTTAAATGTTAAAAGGGTAAACATACATATTTTACTACAATAAAAATAATTTTTTTTCCCCAAAATATATCTTTATTGATTTCAGAGAGAGGAAGGGAGAGAGAGAGAGAGAAACATCAATGATGAGGGAGTCACTGATCGGCTGCCTCCTGCAGGCCCCTGACTGGGGATCGAGCCTGCAACCCGGGCATGTGCCCCAACTGGGAATCGAACCCCCATCACCTGGGTCCTAGGTCCACACTCAACCACTGAGCCACGCCCAGCCGGGCTAAAAATAGTTTTTTAAAAATTACAAACAGGTGCCCCTAAAAAATTTAATTTGAAAATTTAGATAGGACCTATATATACCAAACTGCCTGAAGGAAAAACTAGCTAGTCTAAAAGGTCTTAGAATCTTTATTTACACTGTAAAACTTCTTTTAATACACAGCTTATTTATGTAACTGGGTGCTCGATTCTTGTTAAAATTGTTTTTAATTCCAGATCCTTTATCATGGTTATTAGATTACATATTTTAAAAATGAGGGAAATTTTTAGCTCAATTTTGAATACATCTCAGAGACCGTTCTTTTTTCACTTAATAAACCAAACCCAGCTAAAGGGGGGCAAAGACACTTCAGCTCTTTTGCAGATAAATGTCAAAGAGAAATTTAAATTTTAAGCAGCATTGAAGTAAAAGTCATCTGGCAAACAAATCGGAATTTCTTCCTGTGTGAGCAAGAATTCTAGGGTATTGTCATCATTGCATCGAGCTTCCCGAATTATCCCAGCTACGCGCAGGAAGTGGCAGTCCACGGAGAGCCTCTGCCTCAGCAAATACCACGGCCACTGAGGATTTCATTTTTAGGAAAACACTCATTTCTCGTCATTGTTAGTAGGCTTCTTCTAGGTTTACCAGTTCCTAGACAAAATTTGTTTTATAAATATGACTTTAAATAACTGGACACAGCCTTACCTGAGCTAATTATGCATTGCCTCTTTATTTTGCTGGTTTTTGGGGGGGTTTTCTTTTTCTTTTAGTGGTAGAATTGTGGACTTTACCCACACAGTAGAGTAAGGAAAACTGTAGAGAATTAGAATGGAGCCCAAGTTTTCACATATGACCTGAAAAACTGCAGTCGCTCTGATTCGGTTTCCTCATTTGTCAGGTGGGATATTACCCAGCCCTCCTGGCGTTGCTCTCACTAGTGTGATTTTAAGCGTGATTTTAAGCGTGATGCGTGTAGAGCAGTAAGCACTGTCCCAGGCAGGGGTGAGATACAGTCTGGGAAGATGAGTACTTCGTTCTAACTTGGCTATTTTACTGTGAGCCACAGAGGTTGTCTCATGATACAAACAACTAATAGAGAAAAAGAGCTACTTTTCTTCAGAATAAGAATCTTTACGTATAAAGTTGTCTGATTTTGTTTTCTAACATTTAAAAACTATTCAAATCATTAAGAGCATTGTTTCTGATGTCTGTGCTTGCTTGCAAAGATCTGATCCATACATTAGATTTTGTAACATGCATTTTTGACGCTCAAGGATCAGTTACTTCAGTTAATTGATTTAGTTGCTAAAAATCAAATTCTGGAGACTTAACTAAATCAGTTATTTTGACGTAAACTGGAGGTTCTCAGTCTCCTGAGCTGCCTCCCAGGGTGGATATCCTGCGTCCCACCTGGTCTTTCCCTGCTGTTGGGGAAAGAAAGCAGAACATAAAATTCATCATCTTGACCCTTTTTAAGCGTACAGGTCATCAGTGCCAAGTACATTCCCGATGCGGGCGACCATCACCACTGTCCAAGCTGAAACGGTCCCCCTTAAACACCAGCCCCGGTCCCCTCCCAGCAGCCCCTGGCACTTCACTCTAGATGTTTGATGTGAGTGGAGTCGCACGGCCTCTGTCCGTTGGCGTCTGGCTCATTTCGCGGGCGGTGTTTCGGGGCTCACCCGTGTTGTAGCACGTGTTAGGGTGTCGCTCCTTCTGAAGGCTAGCGCTCCACTCGCTGTAGGCACCGCGTTTCGGGTGTCCATCTGTCTCCGGACTGCCTGCGGCTGTGGACATAGTGCTGAATTGTCAGGAAGCACAAATAAGTTATTCCTCAGGATGGGGAAGAGTAGATGCGTCATCGCTGAACAGCCTTGATGGGCTCCGTGGGCGTAAAGAGCGGGAACGCCGCTCCTGCACTGTCGCTAGGTGTAGCCTCAGACCACTGAGAGGTCAGACCTGAAGGTGACTCTCAACTGTCTCAGAATGCTAATGACGTTTTCTCTTTCTGTTGCAGACCCAGACTTTACTTACCTAGGAGGTATTTTGAATCCCATCCCAGGTTTAGTATGTTACCTCTTTTTCCGCGGGGCGCGCCCGGCCCGTGTTCCCTCCCCTGAATGTCCTCTGTTCCCCCTAGACTGCCAGTTTGAGCTGTCGGGCGCCGACGGGATCGTGCGCTCCAGCCAGGTGGAGCAGGAGGAAAAGACGAAGCCCGGCCAGGCCGTGGACTGCATTTGGACGATCAGAGCCACCCCGAAGGCCAAGGTACCGTTGTGTGCGGAGTCCCTTGGAGAAGGCCCAAGACGTGATTTGTATAATGTGTTACTCTGGTTTGTGCAGATACTTATTGGTTATAAACTGATGTTTCAGCTTTATTTCGGTCACATTCTGAAGTGCTTCCTAAGACCTCAGCAGTGTTGCCGTTCAGTAAGCTACAGTGTAAATTTCAGGAATATCACACGTACTTTAAGGTTCTCATTTTAAGAATTTAAGTCTTAAGATCTGTGGGCTCCTAATTGAAGAGTGTGAGTACTGAGCAGGATGGTCACCACGTCATTTAAAAAGTGGTGTGACCCTGGGGGATTGCTCAGTTGGTTGGAGCCTCATCCATACTCCAAAGGTTGGGGGCTTAACTCCCAGTCAGGGCACATACCTAGGTTTCGGTTTGATCCCTGGTTGGGGCGGCTACGGGAGGCAACTGATCAACGTTTCTCTCTCTCTCTCTCTCTAAGATCTATCAAAATAACCAACTAGAACTTCTACAAGTCAGCAGCATAGTTGTTGAAAGTAGAGCTGAGAAAATGACCCAGAACGCACGTTGGGGGCGAGGGGTGGAGGTGGGTGTAGCAGAGGGAGCCTTTTACCCAGACTGTCAGTGGCCGTGAGATGCTTTACAACACGTGCAATGGCCGGGCCGCAAGGAGCCAAAGCCTCTCCACCTCACAGACAAGCCAGAGCCTTTGGGGCCTTAGTGCCTGGTTCTGGTGTTAACCAAAGAGATAGATCATCAGTCTTAGTCCTTTTGCTACTCAGGCGTCAGTCAGCCTTTCCTCCATGTTCTCCTGTCAGCGGTCATGCTTCAATCCACATTGTGGATGGGTAACAGGACTGAACATTCAAGTCAGTGTATCTTATTTTTATTTTTATTTATTGAATTGAGAGAGAGATCAATGTGTTCCACTTATTCATGCATTCATTGGTAGGTTCATGTACGTGCCCTGACAAGATCAAACCCACAGTCTTGCCCGACCGGGCGTGGCTCAGCAGTTGAGCATTGACCTAGGATCCAGGCGATCAGGGTTCAATTCCCAGTCAGGGCACACGCCTGGGTTGAGGGCTCGATCCCCAGTCGTGGGCGTGCAGGTGGCAGCCGATCAATGACTCTCTCATCATTGATGTTTTCAACTCTCTCTCTTCCTCTCTCTCTCTCTGAAATCAATTAAGATATATTTTTTTAAAAAACCACAACCTTGGCATCTCAAGGCTGTGTTCTAACCAACCAAGCTGCCTGGCCAGGGCCCACTGGATCCTTTTAAAAGCAGTGTTTCTCTTTATTTTAATGTCACAGATCTATTTGAGGTTCCTGGATTACCAGATGGAGCACTCCAATGAGTGCAAGAGAAACTTCGTCGCAGTCTATGACGGAAGCAGTTCTATCGAAAATCTCAAGGCCAAGTTTTGCAGCACGGTGGCCAATGACGTAATGCTCAGAACCGGAGTGGGGGTGATCCGCATGTGGGCAGACGAGGGCAGCCGGCTCAGCAGGTTCAGGATGCTCTTCACCTCCTTCGTGGAGCGTAAGTAAACAGCCCCTCTCGCACTGAGAACTTCTACATGATTTCCACTCATTCAGGACAGTCATTGGGCTTTTCCCTTTCACGATGACTGCAAGTCACAGGATGTAGAAATAACTGAGCCTTCGCCCCTCTTCTCAAGACACTGACAGTCGTGGGTGAAACAAGCGTGTGAATGCTGGAACTGCTCCCGGCTTGTCTCATGTTGTAAACGCAGGAAGGGGAGCAGAGAGCGGAGACTTTGCTGAGGTTTTCAAAATTAAAAGTAATGATCAGTAGCAGTGATTCAGCTTGGTCGATGATTATGAATCCAGCAAACCGTGATCGTGAGAGATTTGGATTAGCTATGTTTTCTTTTCTTTTGTTTTCCTGTTTTTTGAACTTCTTATTTTTAAGTAATTTCAGCTCACGGGAAGCTGTAAAAATAGAGGAGTTTGTAAAAAAAAAAAAAAAAAAAAGTATGCGTGATATTCCCTCAGATTCCCCGAGTGTCAACACCTTGCAAACTGACTGTTCCCACTGACGTAACAGAACAACCATGTAGGCCCCGTGAGGTATCACTGGCTGCCCGCGAACGTCCCTCCTGCTCCAGGATCGCACCTTACGGTTAGTTGTCTGTCTCTAGTCTCCTCCGCCTGCGACACGTCTCAGTCTTCCGCGACCTGGATGCATTTGAAGAGAATTGCCTGGTTATTTAGTCCATCAGTTTAGGTTTGTCTGATATTTTCTCCTGGGTGTAATTGAGCTCACGCATTCCTGTCACGCATCCCGCAGAGACTCACCCCGCTCTCGGTGCCCCGCACCTGTGAGAGGTTAGGGCGCACGGGCGCGTTTGCCTTTGCAAACGCCCTTGGGCTCGGTGACCTCAGCGTCCGTGATAGTCAGCGCTGTGGTGCCCCCGGGCAGCGGGCTCGGTGACCTCAGGGTCCATGAGTGGTTTCCCCCTGTGATAGTCAGCGCTGTGACGCCCCCGGGCGGCGGGTTTCTGCCCCACCCTTCCTTCCACACTCGTAACTCTGATTCCTCTGTGAGTAAAAGCTGTTCTTATTTGTTCCGTCATTCATGCCGGGGTGAACTCATGGCTGTTTATTTTAGCCCATTAACATGTTTATCATGTGTGTGAGTTATGTCATTCTGTAATACACCGTTGTTGCTTTGGCCACCAGGACCCCTGCAGCCGCCCCCCGGGCCCTTTCGGTGCCTGTTGCTGTTCAGCCTCCCCTTCCTTTCTGCTCCCGCGGGGCGGGCCTGGCGCAGCTGGTGTGTTGCCACCCTGGCCCCTTATCTCACGGCGAGAAACCTGGCTCTCATTCCCCACCACGCACTTACTGTCAGTCCCAGGGCAACAGCCGGGAATTTCAGAGCTGCGAACCCACGTCCCTGTTAAAAATGTCCTAACAGCCATTATTCTGTGCAGGTCTTTTTGTCTTTGGCCTTACTGTGAAAATGCGCTTTTCCAGTTTCTAGATTAGTGTTCCTCTCTCCTTTCCTGTGATTAGGTAATTGAGTCGTAATACATTTAGGTTCATTTGTGAGTGTCTGTATTTCATGTTATTTCCCCCCACATGTGGTTACGTTCGTTTGTTCTTATTTTGGGAGCACGTGGAATAGGACCACTGTCCCCAGAGAGCTATACAAAAAGACACCTCCCCGCCATCCCTTCCCACCTCCGTCCCGGCCCCCATCCCGCAGCCTCTCCTCCCACGCTCTGTAGCTGTGTTTTAGTTAGCATTTTCTCCGTGCACACTAATGATTTCTCCATTAGTGCAAATCTAGTAAGTAAGCAGGCGGAAAGCCTCTCCAGGAGGCACCGTCACACCGACTCGCTGAAGGCTGCAGCCCACTGAGCTCCATACCCCAGATCAGCTCTTGCTCAAGAGCAGGGAGAAAACTGTCCCTCAAAAAAGCAGTGGGCGCCCGTGGACTGAGGGGTCCCGGGTCTGATTCCAGCCAAGAGCATGGACCTTGGTTGCAGGCTCGATCCCCGGCCCTGGTCGCGGCAAGTATGGGAGGCAGCCAGCCAATGTGTCTCTCTCACATTGATGTCTCTGTCCCCCTCTCCCTCTCCCCCGTCCACTCTCTGAAAAGCAGTGGAAAAAGTATCCTTGAATGAGAAGGAAAAAAAGGGGGGTGTATGTGGGAGCAACGCATTCTATACATTTTTATGAAACAAAAGTTCCAGTTTGAAAGTCTCCTGATAAACACATTTGAGAGCTTCAGACAGTACATCCTACATGCTTCTCATGAGCTCAGGTGTGACCCCGCCTCCCCTGCCCTCTGGGCCGTTGGCATCTGTGCTGCATGGGCAGGGTCTCGGGAGAGGTTCCTGTGCGCGGACTAGCTCTGCACGGGGGCTCCCTTGCACCCACCGCTGTAGGTTGCAGCCGGGACCAAAATAGTAGAACTCGGCTAAAGTGACTGAAATAGAACAGCACTCAGAACGCCCTCGGCTTCTTCCCGGGCCCCCGCTACTAGCGCATACCTCGCTTTTTCAGGAAGAATGTGGTTTTAGGAAAATAACTCCTAGGACTAGAAGTGAGAAAGTCAGGGAAGGTATTTTTGATAGAATAAGTCCATTATGCGATTTCCAGGGGCCTACTGACCGCCAGTCCCCGCGGGCTTGGCTGCGGGACGGAGCCGTCTTTCAGCATCAGGGCCACAGCTCGTCGGGCGTGGCGCTGAAATCCCCGCCATGACCCACAACGAAGAAGGGAAGGTAGAAGGTCCTCGGGCTGTGAGGGGAGAGCACCTGTAGCTGCATTGTTTCTGCCACTATCTTTGTCCCTTTGTATATACTTTTGAACCGAAGCATGTCGTTAGCAGCCACAAGAACTACCGATAACTGATAAACAGCTGTGCCTGACCATCAAACGTCTACACAGCGCCCTGGCCAGTTTTGCTCAGTGGTTAGAGCGTCGCCCGTGGTCTGAAGGGTCCCGGGTTCTGTTCCAGCCAAGGGCATGTGCCTTGGTTGCAGGCTCGATCCCTGGCCCCTGATGGCGCACATGCAGGAGGCAGCCAGTCACTGTGTCTCTCTCACAGCGACGTTTCTCTCTCTTTCTCCCCGCTCCCCACTCTCTCTGAAAAGCAATGGAAAAAATATCCTCAGGTGAGGGTTAAAAATAATAATAAATAAAGTGGTTTAAAAGTCCACAAAGTTTAGGCCCTGGATGAGTAGCTCAGTTGGTTAGACCATCCCCAGGTTGCAGGTTTGATCCCCGGTCAGGGCGCACGCAAGAACCAACCAGAGATGCGTCAGTAAGTGGGACAGCAGATCATGTTTCTCTCTCTCTGTCCCTCTCTCTCCCTCTCCCTTCCTCCCTTTCTAAAATCAATTAATAAATTAAAATAAATTTAAAAAATTTTAAAGTCCACAAAAGTTACATTTGTGATCACGAAGAAAACTCACGTTCCTGTGAGTCAGAGTCGGACAGTGTCCTCGTTGCTGCTCTCGGATCGAGCTCATTAACGTGGAGAGGTCGTCGCAAAGAACTCGTGGTGAAGAGCAGGCGCTTCCCATTCGGTACTCATTGAGAAACACTGAGCAGGAAACCTGCCTTTTTTTTTTCCTGCCACTTTGGAAGCTATAAGAGCCATCCACATGCAGTCACCTAATATACTGCGGATAAACTCTAAGAGCTAACGATAGTTTGACTCAGAAAATGGGAATTGCTAGAAGCTGCAGTGCTGTTTGTAATCTCACTGGCTTCTCTTTCCTGTATCCCCATTTGTGAACTGGATAAAATAGGTAGAAGTAGAATTCAACATGCAATGTGATATAGTATATAATAGAATTGTGGTATGATACAGAAACAGAAAGCTCCAGTTCTTAGAAGTGAGGAATTCAGAGCTCGCGTGCGTGCTCTTGGCCGTCCGGAGCCCACCCCGCGCCGTGTAGTTTTATGATTACGGAGCACAGCTGGAGGGGTACACTAGCTGTGTACTTGAAATACCGCTATAAGGATTGGCTTTCCCAGCCCTAATCCGATGGTTTATATGTAACCTGATGATGAGTTTCTAAATCACCAAGCATTTTTTAAGAATCATGAAATGCTTATTTTAATAGTTTAAATCAGTGATTTTCACCTGGTGAACCGCAGACTTTTTGTGCAATACCTGACTATTTAGTCAGGGGCGCTGGCCTCTTTCCCCTTAGAGTGTCATTAAAAAATGACAGCAGCCAACACAAATAGCCATCTAGTGTGAATGAATAAAAATTATACCTATTTTTTATCAGATTGGAAAAATTTTTTTTTTTTTGGTGTGCTGCCAAATTTTAGTAGTTTATATGTGCCGTGAGGTGAAAGAAGTTGAAAATCGCCAGTTTAAATGGTATGACTTTGACAGGTTAACAGTCTCTGAGTAAATTACTTGTTAGTTATGTGCTCTTTTTTGCACTTAGATTGAGGATAAGAGTATCGGCCTGACTGGGATAATTTCATAGGCCCATCAGACCTGAGAGCCGGCGTCTGAGGTAGCCTGTGGCCCATCCACTCATTTCCAAGGAGCCGAGGCCGGTGAACGGTGCGCAGCGTCCGGGTGGCCTGCTCCTGCGCGGAGCCTGTTTCTGCCGATGACCAGCCCACCGATTGCTCCCTTCCTGCCTCGCAGCAGGAGGCGCGAGTCTCCTTCCTGATGAAACACGGATTTCCTGAAAATAGAAAATGTAGACTCTCCGGCAGGAAATACATCTTGTTTGGTTACATTCTTGGGAGTCAGTGGTTCGCTGATTTGCGGGCCGTCCTACCTCTGCACCGGTGGGGGATGAGCTGTCCCACTCCGACCGGCAGGGCTTCTGTCCCTGAAACACAGGACGCCTCTGTGTTGGCGCCTGGGTCTCCCTCTGGGACTCGATCCCCTGGCCGCGTGAGCTCGGGAAGCCCAGGAGCCCCTGGCTGTGCAGGGAGCGAGGGGACTCTTCCCAGAGGGTCCGACATTTGGGGTGACCCTGGAAGAGGAGTCGAAGAGAGCGGGCGTTTCAGGCAGAAAGAACGGTTCTCGCAAACCTGAGAGTATGTGGTGTGTGAGCCGTGGATCTTCACTGAAAAAAATTTGAAATTCCCAAGAGTGTTTTTCTTGTCTTAGGGTAAAATCAGAATAACATAGAATTTCCCACTTCAGGTTTTCAGGGCGCGGCACGAGGTGCGTTCACACTGTGGTGCGCCCCCCAGCACCGGGGCCTCCACCCGTCACCCCGTCCCCATCAGCAGCCGCCCCCTGTCCACCGTCCGTCACCCGCCCTCTGCGGGAGCGCGGCACTCTGGGCCCCTCGCGGGAGCGGGTGAAGCGCCGCTGGCCCTTTGTGTCCCGGCTGCTTTCACTGAGGGCAGCGTTTTCGGGGTCCAGCCCCTCGTAGTGTGCGCCAGTTTTCTTCTGAACCGGAGTCTGAATAGCATCCCTGTGTCTGCACCGCGCTGTGGGCATCCATCTGTCCATCCACAGGCACTGGGTGGCCCCCGCCTTTGGCTCTCGTGAGTAATGCTGCTGTGAGCACGGGGGCACACGTGTGCTTGAGCCTCTGCTGTCCGCCTCGGGCGTAGACCGAGGGGGAATTGCTGGGTCACGTGGGAGCCCGTGTGCGCTTCTGAGGAGCTGCGTGCTGTTCCCCGCGCCGGGCCCGCACCAGTGCCCGTTCCCACCCTGTGTTCCCGCCCTGTGCCAGGGCCCGCACCAGTGCCCGTTCCCGCCCTGTGTTCCCACCCCGCGCCGGGCCCGCACCAGTGCCCGTTCCCGCCCTGTGCCAGGGGCCGCACCAGTGCCCGTTCCCGCCCTGTGCCAGGGGCCGCACCAGTGCCCGTTCCCGCCCTGTGCCGGGCCCCGGGCTCCACGTCCTCGCCCGCGTTTCCTTCGCACAGTCTGGAAGTGCCCCGGCTGAATGTCAGTTCCGCGGGACTGTTCGTGCCGCCCTTGCGTGGGCGGCGGCCTTTCGCCGGCTGTAAGGAGCAGCTTGCTCGCGCGGTCACGGAGAGGACTGGCCGCTGTCCCGCTGTGTGTCGTGCGGAGGGTGTTCCTGGAAGGGCTCGGGGTCGCACGGGACTGGACAGCGCAGGTGAAGCCGCCGTCCGTGTGCTTCGCGTTCTCAGCAGCGCCTTCTCTGCCCGCAGCTCCCTGCACCGGCAGCACCTTCTTCTGCCACAGCAACATGTGCATCAATCGCTCCCTGGTGTGCAACGGTGTGCAGAACTGCGCCTACCCCTGGGACGAGAGCCACTGCCGGGGTGAGTCCGCCGAGAGCAGAGGCCTGCCCCTCACCAAGGGAGACCTACAGGGCCCCTCTGCCACTGCGCCGAGGCCGGGCCCCGGCAGAGGTGGGGACGTGTAACACGTCCTCGGAAATGGACCCTAGACCTCTGGGTGTGGCAAGAACAAAGAAATAGTTATTCTCAAAGTCGTTTTTATCTTAAGTTCAAAAGCTCTTCATAATATTCTTGCCCTTATTCTCTTAGTCGTATATATCGTGGAGATACCTTATTCTAGAGTTATTTGGAAAGTGAGCTAAAGTAGTATTTTTTAAGTGACATGGAGACACTATTTAATAAAAGTTAACGGGTGGATTCAGTCTCAGAGTACAGCGCGGGCTCCTCGCGGGAGCTGCCCTGCCCGTGGGCTCGGTTGCCGGGCACCGTCCCCTGCTCGGGAAGGTTCCGCTTCGATTCCCAGCCCAGATTGCGGGCTGGGTCCCCGACAGGGCCCGCGGGAGGCGGCTGATTGATGTTCTGCTCTCACATCAATGTTTCTCTCTCCCTCTCTAAAAAATCAATTAAAAAATCTTTTAAAAAGGGAAAAAAAAGAACTGCTTGTTTTAAGTTCATAAAATTTCTTGCACTGATTCCCACTGTGTATTCCCTGAAAGATAAATAAGGCCTGTGGTGAGAGCTGAGTGTCACAGCTGGTTAGCATCCCGCTCGGTGCTGGAGTTTACCTACCTTGCACCTTCAGGGCTTCAGAAATATCTCCCTATGAAGTGAATGGAATCGGGTATGGCTGTCTTAAGTACTTGGCATGAAGTATTTTCGGGTGATCATTTGTTCAAAAACCGTGGCGGCAGACCTGAGTGGGTTAGCCGGGTCATCTTAGTTCTCCGGTGAGGCGGGCCCCCCGAGCAAAACCAGGGCACGTATTCAGACCTACCCTGGAGCGCAAGGCTGATCACGACCCAGCAAGAGTGTTTGTTCTGGCACCTTCTTTGTGCATGTATTTAATTTTATTTGCAAATTGTGGGCATTCCTGTGCCTTCTGAGCAAAGAACCAAGTCCTTTATCATTTTCGTAATCCATCTGATTATTAGTAGTGATTATTAGTTTAACGAGGAATCATAATAGGACTTCTTTTTAGAACCTAATTTAAATTGTATTATCAGTGGTGTGTCTGACCCAAGCGTTTCTGCTTCACCTAAAAGCACCCAGTCCGTGCAGGCCCCCTGGTGAGTGTTGGAGGCCTGCACGTCTCTCTCTCTTCCCGCAGAAAAGAAACCGGCAGGACTCTTTGAGCAGATCACCCGAACTCACGGGACAATTATCGGCATCACCTCGGGCGTCGTCCTGGTCCTTCTCATCATTTCTGTTTTAGTGCAAGTGAAGCAGCCTCGGAAGAAGGTCCTGGCTTGTAAAAGCACCTTCAACAAAACTGGGTTCCAGGAGGTGTTCGACCCCCCGCACTACGAGCTGTTCTCCCTGCGGGACAAGGAGCTGTCCTCGGACCTGGCCGAGCTGTCGGAGGAGCTGGACGGCTACCAGAAGCTGCGGCGCTCCTCCTCGGCCTCCCGCTGCGTCCACGAGCACCACTGCGGCGCGCAGGCCGCGGGCGCGAAGCCGGGCAGGACCAACCTGGCCGCCATGGAGCTTCCCTTCCGGAACGATTTCGCACAGCCGCAGCCCATGAAGACGTTCAACAGCACCTTCCGGAAGAGCAGCTACACCTTCAAGCAGGCGCACGAGTGCCCCGAGCCGGCCCTGGAGGACCGGGTCATGGAGGAGATCCCCTGCGAGATCTACGCGAGGGGGCGCGAGGATGCCGCCCAGGCGTCCATCTCCATCGACTTCTAGCCTGCCCGGTGGCCCGTCCCTGCCCGGGGGGCCCGTCCCTGCCCACGCCACCTCCACCCGCAGCCAGCCCTTCCCACCGATGCGGCGACCGCCAGTTCCCGGCACCTGTCCTAGGGGTGACGTTTTAATATCTCAGGCAGCCTGTGTACGTCGAACCAGCCGAGGAACTTACACCAGTCGGTGGAAGAAATAGTGACCGTGTGTTGCTTGGTGTCGTCAGCGAGGCGGCGGCGAGGTCGCCTTTGAAGGGGGCGTGGGCGCGGAGAGCCGGCTCGGGCTGCCTGCTCAGGGTAGCAACAGGTTCTGCTCTTTTTTAAAATATATATATGTTTTTATTGATTTTAAAGAGAGAGGAAGGGAGGGAGAGAGACAGAAACATCGACATGGCTCGGCTGCCTCCTGCACGCCCCCGCCGGGCGTCGAGCCCACAGCCGGGCATGTGCCCTGACCCGATGCAGGCAGCAGGCTCCGCTCTTGATCGACACAGCTGTGGATATTTTGATCACAAAATAAGTTTAAATGTAAGGTTTTTCTTTTTTTTCCTTTCCAATGTAATTTGTTGTCTAAGTCAGCAATTTTACCATTTGATTTTCTTACATAAATACGTGTGGTTAAAGTACTGCACATATTCCAACATGGGCATTGGTTCAAGACTTTGTCAAAAATGATAGTTACTATGGTTAAGTCCAATTAAGACCCAGAGTTATGCTTCGTCCATCTGTTTGTTCCTGGCTGATTTCTTTATTGTTGCCTTTTAATTAATTTCTAGATCCTTATAGTCTTTGTTTTCTGTAAGAAGCAGATGATATGATATCATTTGTCACCTTTAAGTCATGTTGTGTCTTTGTTACATTTTAGTACAAAATTTCATAATTCTTGGACATATGTACCATTGCCAGTTATGACTAAAATCTTGAAAAAGATGAAGATGTCTAGAAATCCTTTGAAATTTCTCAAATTTGGTTACATTCAGTGATAGCTCATTCGTTGCTGTGAGCACAGAGGCATTTCCTTCCGTTTGGGAGAGGCCTGTCATTTTATTTCCAGTGTTTCTCACCAGATGTGTTTCTGATTATTTTAATGAAAAGATTCTTCAGCTCCCTTTGTATTAGTTCATCTTACAGCTTATGGTAACCAAGGTTGAGTGAGACTTAAAGAAAAACTCCTAAGAAACTGCAGAACCCTTTGGATCACGTCTTACTTGGGACAATACATTTTTCTAGTTCTTACCAAGAATAACAACTTCCACTTTTTTTTAATATACTTTTGACCTTTTTTTTATGGTATAGAAACAATAATTTATAAACATGATACAAAAACTCATTGTGGTTTTTAGACTTTTGATATTATTTGATATTGTACACTTTACGAAGTCAAGATTGAAGGCCTACGGGACAGGTTACTTGCACTGTTCACATTAGCAGCTCTGTGTACAATATGCTCTGCGGGAAACGTACACTGTAATTTATTGTAAAGACCTTGGTAATGTGTACATAAGCTTTTTGTTTCCTCTTGTTACTGCATTTGGTTTATGATAAAAAAAAATTTTGACCGTGTAATATTTATTCTAAATCACTACAAGTCTTGTATTAAAATATACATTGTTCCATCATTCTTCAGTTCTGTTATTTATGGCATTGAGATTTTGGATCCTAAGTATGGAAAGGAATCTGTTTATTGAATTATATCTAATACAGACATGCCACTTAAACAAGATAAATTCTCATTTCCAATGTGGGTTTTTTGTGGGGTTTTTTAGTAAGTTTTCAATGAAATGAAAAAATGAAGTTTCGCTGGATTTTGTTCATTCTTTTAAATATCACATCTGTGTTTTCTCAGATTAGTGAAAACTGTCACCTTAAATGATACATATGTAATACTCCTTCAAAATGAGTCTTGTATCATGTTTCTTATTTTTTTTTTAAAGTATGTAATATCCAGAAGATAGGAAAATGTACACATAGTATATATTCGTGATTTAATTTTTTTCAAGTCAGCATAATATCTTATTCTAAAAATGCAACTTGGGAAGGTAATAGACCTACTGAATGTGGTTGTCAGTGACCTAGCGAACCAGAGCCAGGTGAGTGAGTGGCTGATGTCTTTCAATCGCTCTGTTGAATAAGCCTTAAAAGGTAACTTGCCAGCCAGCATTTGAACAACATAGTAAATATTTAATAGAATCTCATTCTTCACCATGATGAAAGGAAAATTAGTGTATTTTCTATGTAAAATCATATCCATTATAGAAACAGGCTATTCATCTTTAGCGTCTACATTATAGTAGGAAACAGTACAGAATGCTGAACTACGGTAGCTACAGTCACTGTAACTTCATTTTTGAAATTTGTATCATTCTGTTTGCAAAGGGCATGGAGAGGCCTATAAAATACAGTCTAAAGAACACATGTAACATCGAAACAGCATAACGCAGCAGGTAAAGCTTGGACACCAAGTTCGGCTTTAAATTCTCTGGCTGCTGGGACCAACGGCATCGTTTTTGCTTTTCCCAGCAGGAAACCCAAACACTGCGCAGGCTGGTTTCTCTTCATCCGAAGGAAGGGAATCTTTCTCCAGAATGACATTTCCTCAGAATTTAAAAAAGATGCACAGTGCAGAGGGTGGTCATGAGAGGACATCCCAGCCTGGTGAAGATGCCGCTGAGCGTGGGCTGGGGACACTGGCTCCTGTCAGTCTGTCCTCAGGGATGGAACTGGAGAACCAGTGACCAGCTCAGCCAGCCTTAGACCCCCATGTGTCATGTGCCGCCTTGGCCCTGGAGGTGGCATTGGTCGCACTTGCGTCTCGGCCTGACGTCGGCAGCACACGGCAGGAAGAGGGGACTGGGACTCGTAAACTCAGGCGTCGTGCTGGGCGGTAGATAGTCTTTCATCGTTGAGGTCAGTGAGGAAACTTTACAAATTGTTTACTAAAGCAAAAGCCATACATTTTTGTAATGGAAGACATCCGTGTTCTCTCAGATGTGGCCGTCTTGGGGGAGTTATTACCCTTCACAGAGAATGTGGACCCGGAGCTGACACAAGGGAAGGTGCGAGTCTGGGGAATGGTTCAGTTTGGGAGCAGCGTGACCACAAGTGTCCTCTCGGTCTCACTTCTGTGACACAGTGGACCCCACACGTGGCAGGAAACCCAGTAATCCCAACATCTGACGTGTGGGAACGGTGTGAGGGGCCTTTTGTGGGGGAGATGTTCAACCTGTTGAACAAAAAGCACAGGATTTCCCGCAGTTCCTATCACAGAGGCTCCTCTGCCTTGCTCGCGGCGCAGTGTTGGTGTCTGTCGTGTTTCCCACAGGCAGGCGGTAAGAGCCTCTGGGCATCTGCTTGGGCCCCGTCGCATAGGCCCGCGGGTGTCCGCTGAGCAGGTGCCGCCCGCCGGGAGCCGGGAGGAAGAGCGGGGGCGATTCGGGGAGCAATTCTCCGTCAGAGGGAGCGTGCTCTGCAGGATGGCGTCTGCCGTGTCGTTCATGGTCCTTTATTTCAAGTATTAAAAAGATGTCTTGGATCCGACTCATCAGACTGATGGGAGGGAACCTGGAGTCCTTGGGTTTTTTAAGATCCGAGAAAGGTGACGTGGCCCGACTTTACTCACGGGATCGAAGCCAGAGGAGAAGTGAGCACCGCGCCTCAGCTCGGCCGTGCGCGCCCCTTGCTTTCTGCCACCCCCTGCTCCAAGGTCTCCACGTCGAGCAGCTTTAAACGCAGCCCGACAGTCCGTGGAAGCTGGTCGGCCATTCTGATTTAAAATGTAATTTATAACCGTGGTTTTTTTTCCCCAAAGAATTTTATTTTACTTTTTTGTCTTTACCTATGTAAACTATGTCATTCTTCAATTTTGTTGCCGTCATTTCTTGGCACCTACAAACTCGCAAGACAGTTACTGTGAATTCTCAATAAACAATGTTTAACAATTTATAGGCTTGACACAAAGAGCGTCACTGTTTTGCTCCGTGGTCGTTTTTGAATCTGAAGGAAACAGTGTATCCTGTAGAAACGAAACACCCGTGTGCCATCTCTCGCGTGTGGAGAGTGGCCTGAGTTTGGAACCATTATGAAGGACAGCTTGACCTTAGTTATCTTCTTAGCTCCCAGCAAAATTGGCTGTCCATGTTTTATACACCTCCACTAATAACATTCAGAATTCTGAACCTGCCTTTCTTTAGTCACTTTCTCATATATTTCTGTGATTGGTTTAATTGCTACAAAAGCCCAAGAAACTAATGACTGGGAGTGTTTAGTATGGACTGTCTCAAGTAAAAACATTTTTTTAAACAATGGATTTTTCTTCTAGAGATGACTGTCCAGGCCACAAGAGAATTCTCATGTGCTAATCTTGGATCTGACACTTCATGGTAAGTAATTGGACCCCTGAACCTGAAATAAAAACTCGTGTTTTGATTGTCTTGCTTGCCTCAGTTCCCAGTCTCTAGAAGTGGCCAGGAACCCTCACTTCCTTCCAAGGGCAGAGTTGGCGATTCCTCCCCAGAAGCGTCCAAAGTAAAACAATCGGTTGTGATATTTTTTTCAAAAGCAGCCTCAGGCTAGTATACTTAAAACCATTGGACGTGTTCAAATTAATCTTCAAGACAAACTTTAAAAAAAAATGACTGTAGTCTTCGGTTTTCTGCAGGACGCAGTCTGCCGCGTCGGCTCCCTGAAGGGAGGCCCCAGAGCGAGTGCTGTCCTTTGGAGGTGCAAAGGGCATCAGTCACAGCCTCCGCCCAGGATGGAGGAGTGGCCCCATCAAAGGTGCCCTCTGAGGAGGGAGCAAAGGAAGGCAAGAGCTCCCAAATTCCTAATCATACAGGCACGAGTCACGGAGCAAAGGACGGAGACAGAGAAGGGTGGTGGGCACTGGCCCGTCTCCAGGTGGTTACCGAGCTATCTCACTTTGTGTTGCTGAGGGTGAAGAAACAGCTTTTATCCGAGTCCCACGGCCCAGCTTTGTCAGACTCAGGCCCGGCGCCACGGGCCACTGAGCGGCACAGTTGTCACTG